AGGAGTTCTCGAAGTCGAGGAAGGGGACAACGTAGAAGGATGCATCATCGTAGGACTTATTTTTATAATGATTCAGACTCGGAGCCTGAAGTCATCAGGAATGTCCCAAGAGCGAGGTAAAATGAGTTAAGGAATCAAGGGGCTGAGCGAAGGGAAGGAGAAAAGAAATTTAGGGAGTTTAAGGAATTTAAAATGGGCCGTGATGCTTCCATTCCTGAACATCTACACCTTTTTCAGTTAAAAAGAGGTGAATTGGCTAATTACGTAGAAATTACTGATTGGGAAGCATTAGCTATTTTAGGGAACTCTTAGCTATCTCATCCACGAATGTGAGCAACACCCTACTGCTCAAGCTATGTGGGCACATTTAAGAGAGGCATATGGGGGTACAATTGTGACTCGCCTTCGACAACTGACAGTCAAGTTTGACACGTACAAAAAACGTTATGATCACGGTGCCAAGCAACATCTAAGGGTGATGTCAAATATGATTGCTCGACTCAAAAGTGCTGGCCATATTCTTTCTGATGAGCAATAGGTTCAGGCGGTGATTCGGTTTCTTCCCAATAATTAGGAACATCTGAAGGTTAACTTGACCCACAATGACAGCATCAAAACATTTGCTGATGTTTCCTGTCATGTGGAGCTTGAAGACGAGTGGCTTGGTGCTGCTAAAGTTGTACCTAGTGCCTTTGTGGCAGAATCAAGTGGTACAAAGAGATCAAGCTTCAAGCGCAAGAGAAACTGAAAAAATGATGAAAAGGAAAAGGAGACCAGAGAAGGATCCTCCAAGAAAAGAAAAAAGCCAAATTCCAAGAAAGGAAAATGGTTCTACAAAAAGAAATACAAGAGTAAGATAAAGTGCTACATTTGCCAAGTTCCAGGGCATTTTGCTCGTGAGTGCACTGAGCCGAAAAAGATAGCATTTCAAAACGCATCTCTTAGTGTTATATATGTCTCTAGTACTGTTTCACTAATTGAATCTTATCCTGTGTGGATTGTAGACTTAGGGGCCACCGACCATGTGAGCCATGATAGAGAAGCGTTTATAGAGTTTCGTCGAATTCCACCTAGATCAAAGCATGTATAGGGAAATAATGAAAAGCTTGAAGTCAAAGGGATAGGCACTTGGAGAATAGACATGTGTGGTTGCCGATCTTTGATATTGCATGACGTCCTATATGGTCCAGAGATTCGACGAAACTTAGTCTCTGTGTCTATGCTTCTAGATTTAGGTTTAAATTTGAAATTCAGTCGCAATGGTCTTAGAATTACTCTAGACAATGTTGTTTATGGTTTTGGACATCATTATGATGGTTTTATTGTGTTAGATTGTAATCCTTCTACGTATAACTATTATGTTGACCGTTGTGTTATGGCATATTATTCTAGTAACAATGATGCTGATATTATTACATGGCACGCAAGATTAGGTCACATAGGGTAGGACCGAATGAACAGATTGGCTAAGGAAGGACATTTATGTTCTTTCTCTAAAATTGTAATGCCAACTTGTGAAAATTGTCTTGCCGGAACGATGACACGCAAACCATTTAGAAAGGCTAAGAGAGTTGATTTTCCATTGCAATTAATTCATTATGATATTTTGTGGTCCAGCGAATGTGAGGGCTAGGTCTGGTGCTTTATATTTTATTACGTTCATTGACGATTACACGCGCTTTGGTTATGTCTATTTGATGTCTCATAAATCTGAAGCACTAGAATGTTTTAAGAAATATTTGAATGAAGTTGAGAATCAACCGGATAAAATGATTAAGACCTTAAAAACCGATAGAGGGCGTGAATATCTATCAAATCAGTTTGAAGAAGTGTGTAGTGAAAAGGTAGTCACCGGACAGTTAATTATTCCTTACACACCTCAACAAAATGGTGTAGCAGAAAGGAGGAATAGAACAATGTTGGACATGATAATGTCCATGATGGTGCGTGCAAATTTACCTATCTCCTTTTGGGGAGATGCGTTATTGACTGCCGCCTAAAAATGGAAAAAATGCCTTCTAAACCGGTTTCTTCCACTCCTTATGAACTATGGACTGGTCATAAACCAAACTTAAATAATTTACGACATTGGAGTTGTGCTGCGTATGCAAAAGATTCTTTTAGCAAGTTTGGGAAATTAGGTCCAAAATGCAACAAATGTATCTTCATAATATATTCAGAACACTCCAAAGGGTATGTGCTCATTGGTGAATTAGAGGATGGAAGTGTTACTGAGATTGAATCACAAGATGTTACATTTTTGGAAAAATATTTTCCAAAGAAGGGCGAGGTAAGGAATGGAGAGCCTCTTTATGAAATGTTGAACTCAGATAGTCAGCAAGTGTCTTCTGACACAGATGAAAATCAAATTGATCAGGATCTTGTTCTTGGTCTGAGTGGGAGTGGGAGTTCTCAATCCCAAAATCCTTCTGACGAATATGATTTTCAACTACGAAAGAGCACCAGGAAAAATATACCGAAACGTACTTATGAGATTGAAGATTATATTTTCTTAGTATCTCCCATAGAAATAAATGAGCCAGAGTCTGTGACTGAGGCTTTATCGAGCCCTGGAAAAGATGAGTGGATGAAAGCAATGAAAGAAAAATTAGAATCTATGAAAACCAACAAAGTATGTGATATAGTTGACCTTCCGCCTGGGTGTAGAGCCATTGGGAACAAATGGGTTCTCAAAGTTAGGCAAAGCGAATGGGTCAATAGAAAGATACAAGGCACGATTGGTGGCAAAAGGATTTACTCAAGAAACTAGAATAGATTATGAGGAAACATTTTCACTAGTTGTGAAATTTACTTCAATTCGCTTACTTTTGGTTATTGTTACACGTTTGGATTTGGAACTACATCAAATGGACGTGAAGACAGCTTTTCTCAATGGAGAACTAAACGAAGAAATCTACATGGAATAACCTATAGGCTTCATCGTTAAAGGCCAAGAAAAGAAGGTCTGTAAAATGAAAAGATATATTTATGGCCTAAAGCAATCTTCAAGGAAATGATATTTGAGATTTCACAAGGAGGTGATCTCGTATGATTTCACCATAATCAAAAAAAATTTCTTCTTCCAATATGGGACAATGTCCTTTAGTCAAGGAGGGAAAATCAAATATTTCATTTTCCCTCCACTTCGCATTCACCGTTTTTTAAGCTTATTTTAACTTAAAAAACCCAACATATACCAAACTTATGAATACAAGATATTTATTTTACAAAATAGACATTTATTACCAAATTGTGGTTAACTACTTCGTAATATTAAATTTCTTTTTAGTATTTGATTCCTAAAATTAAATTACTGATATAAACACAGTAAATTCTTTTATATACCCTTTTGTCGTGTGGCTGGTTAGCAAAGAATGAAGTTGGGAAACGTAGTTAGCAGCTAGTAGCCTAGCACAGCACATCCTTTAATACCTTGTGCTCCATGCTATTCTGATGTTGCACCAAAACCCACTTTACTGGTATTGCTGCCTGTCCAATAACAAAAGAAAGGAGAAACTAAACCAACAAGTTAATAGCCTGTTTTGTTTGAGAAGTGTTTTTCTCAAAATTACTTTAAGAAAAAAGTGCTTTTGTAAGAAACAGTTTGTACGTGGCTAATTAATTTGAAAAATACTTTTGATCAGTAATTATTATTTTGCCAAGCTTTTAAAAATTACTCTTAAGTGTATTTTTCTCAAAAGTGCTACAAAAATGCTTTTGGCCAAATACCTCAATTTTTAGTCGAGAGAACTTTTGGCCCAAAAGAAAAGCTTGGCCAAACAGGACTATAAAGCTTAATTAGTGCACAATTCAACAACTTTTGCTACCTTTCAAAGTGCTCCTCAAATACCGCATTTGTTATATATACTGTCTTTAACTGCTTTGTACAGAGAGTGTGTGTGTCTCTCTCTCTATATATATGGAGTAAATAACCTGATTTAATATGTTAAAATATATTGATATAGTTATATTTTCAGTATGTAAGTTAAAACAATTATACTTAAGGCTTAAGCTCCAGTGTTTTTCTTTCCTTGTGACTATTAATCTTAATCCAAATAAAATCAGCACATTTGCAGCTGAGAAGGGGTTGCAAGTACCTTTTCAAGTGTTAATAATGTTTATTGTTTATACAAGATAATCTTTTGTGTTAATCGATTACTATATTTTAAGTAGCGTTTGGACATAAAAATTATAATTTTTGAAAAAAATATGTTAAGTTGAAAATTGGTATTTGGAATATGAAATTATGTTTGAACATGCATTTTACTTGAAAAAATATATCACTTTTGTGAGTGGGGAAAAAAAATTTGAAAATTTTAAAAAGTGGTATTTTGAAAAGCTCATTTTCAAAAAATCTACAAAATTTCATGGACAAATAGATTTTTGAGAAAAAAATTCAAAGAACAGGAAAAAAAATTATGGACAAACGGGTCCTAAGTTTTCCATCTCACGCAAAATTCAAAGAGAAAAGAATTAAAGGACGCAATCATCGAAATGAATATTAACCCAGTTGTTTGTCAGTTGTCACCTACTATAATTGTAGTGACATTAGTGCTCTTGGTACATATTATTCCATCCGTTTCAATTTATGTGAATCTGTTTGACTAGATAAGAAATTTAAGAAAAAATAAAGAATTTTGGAATTTGTAATCCTAAATATGTCAGAAAGGGGTTCAGAATAATTGTGTGGTTATAAAAGATTCTCATTAAGAGTAGAATTAAAAATTTAAGCTAAATTTTTTTAAATTTAAAAAGATTTCATTTTTTTTTTTTTAAGTTCCAAACAACGGCTCTGTACACAGTCAGGCCCTGGCCCCCGCCCCCTCTCAGTCAATTGTTTTTGAATTGGCTCGCTTGCATCTGTCATTCATATTAACACCCCTTGAAATCACCATCTTTTTTGTCCCAACTTTTGTAACTCACCATTTTCAATTGTAACCCCCCCACCCCCACCCCCACCCCCTCCTCCCCTTTGAGTTTTGACCCTTTGCCTCTTTTCTTTTTCTGGACATTCTTCTCTTCTTTTCCATACCATTTCAGAAGTCTTTCCTTTTCCTTAATTTTAGGGTAAAAAAAGAAAATGGGGAGTTGTCTGAGCAAGAAGTGCTCTAGTACTTGTACTCCTGTTGCAATTTCAAGCACAAATCAAGAAACCAAACCAAATACCCTGCAAGTAGAAAAGAAGAAAGTAGAGGGACAAATAGTGAGAAAAGAAATCTTTGTTATCAAACACAGGATAAGCCATGAAGGGTCTATATGTTCTAAAGGCTCAAAAGATAATGCCAACAACAGTAATGGGGAATCTAGCAAGAAGAATGCTACTATTATTGTACCAGCACGAGTGAGGAGTAGGAGTTCAAGTTGTACAAAGGAAGAAGTTGATGCTATTTTAGTACAATGTGGGAGGCTTAGTAGGAGCTCATCCATTAACAAAGGTCTTTCCTTAGAATCTTGTGATAATACCAAGAACCACAATAGAAGTAGAAGGTACTCTATTTCTAAGAAAAGTTATGATTTTGACAATGAGAATACAAGTGGTGGTAGCAGAAGAGTGAGCAGATCTCCTGGTAGAAGATCTGAATCACCAATTACTGCTAACAATTGTGCTGAGCTTGTTTCTACAGCTTCTATTCAAAGGATTCAAGTGAAGAGAAATGTAGGTGCTGCATCTCCTCGTGCTCGGTCCCGGTCTCCAGCAAGGGTGAGTGCAAAGGTATCAAACGAGAACATGAATTTCCTACACCAGCCTTTGTCCCTTAGCCGCAACAATTCCAGGAAAAGGGAAGATTCTCCTTTCAGTAGAAATCCTCTGAGTGAGATTGGCAGCACTACTGTGGTCACTGAGCATATGCCCTTTCATGCACTCAAGCCTGTCAACAACAATTTCCACCCTCAGGTTGGCTTTTCTATCCTCTGGAAATAATGTTTTAAAGTTTCCAATTTGTAAATTGGCTAATGATTCTAGTAATGTTTCATTTCAAGGTTTTGGCATTAGGCCAATACTGATTTATATCTGCTTCGGGTTTGAGTTTGCTGTTGGATTTTGGCATTTATTGACATGAATATGTTTTTTTCAAATGCAGAAGCTGAATGCAGAACATGTAAGCTATGGCAAAGTCGTTCAGCAAGAAACTGAGAAAATACTTGGCATCAGCAAAGCAACTCTAGATTACGGCCTAACAAATGTTAATGGCAAAGTCAAGGAGCAGCAGCAGCTGGCACAGGAGGCTAAGGCATTGAGAACAGTTACAGCAAATGCTGCAGTGGATGTGGTTGGTTTAGGATTCGAAAGTCTTGTGCCTCAGGGAATGAGAAGAAGCAGGTCTTCGAGGCTATCCCGAGACCTAGACATTAGTCTTGGAGATCAGTCAAAGCCTACTCAATCATATACTGAGTTATTGCTTGAGGACATCCAAAACTTTCATCAAAAGAGCAGCAAGCCTGCATTTTCACTCCCACCTTGTGTAACAAAAGCTTGCTCAATAGTGGAGGCAGTTGCTGACCTTAACTCAAGCACTAGTTCCAGTTTATCCAGCGCTTTCTCTGATGACAGAAGAAGAAACCCCAAAGTTGAGCAACTTAACAAGAATACTGATACTTCTTTAGGAACCACTCCTCAGGGTAAAAAGAGGTTACAGATAAAAGAGCCATATGTGGAATCTGAGGTTGCTCCAAGTGATGACTTAATTAAGTCTCCTATCATACAGAAGTATGTAACCTTTGGAAGGGGAACTGATGGAGGTTATTTTGAAGAGCCAGAATCCTCAGGAAGCAACAGTTCTGTTGGTGGTCAGCGGTGTTGGTTTTCCCCATCCTCCCGAGGACCAAATTCAGCTGATTCAACTGATTCTTGGTCTCCTTCAAAATCTTACAGTAGGCTTCATGTGAATCCACTAGCCTTTCAAACGCATTCAGTATCTGAGTGTGGCCGTGATATGGATGAAGATAAAAGAAGAATGACAGCAAATACGAGGGATTCTGACAACCAACAACGTGGAATAGGTCGCAACAGGACACCTAGAGGACCTCACACAATATCTATGGCAGCTGCTGCTGCTTCAACTTATTAGTTATATGCAGTTTCTTTGAGGATTTATATGTTGCTGTTATGATTGCACCCTTTGCAACATTTTCATTCCAGTGCCTACAGAATCATTTACTAGAAGCAGCTGTATTGCAATTATTCTTTTAAGTTCTCTGACAGGCATAATGGGGGCTAAATAATGGAGTTTCACATTTATACAGATTTCAAACTTGATACTGAGATAAACTTGATGCTGTGGTAGCAGCGAGAATTCTCTACATGAATCTAACAGTATCAAACGCTTTAGTCCTGGACATTTTATCCAAGAAAAGTTTTGTCTACACCTAATGAGTATAATACACATCTTGAAGCTCACGCTTCATGTTATTATGGTATACAGTTGGGTTGGGAAACCACCTCCAAGCAAGTTCCAGCTTGCATATTAACATGTGTGTGCGCTCTTGCAGGGGCTTGATATAATCTTGATATCTTTTCTATACAGTGTATTTCTTTTCTGCGATAGAGTAATTAAGCTGCTGAGGGTTCTTCTCTCTCCAACACAAGGAGGATTACTCATCCCTTGACTATATCATTTGGCATCACTTTTGTAGTTAACCAAGTAAATTGCAGCCACCGTGACAAATGCTCCACCTAGTTGCACGGGTGTGAATGTCTCATCTAGATATAGGAACCTGTATCGGAGTTGAACAAATTAGGCAGATTCAGATAGGCAAAAAGTAGAAACCAAAAAGTGAAGATAGAAACCGAATCAAACATAAACTGCTTTGGACAGTAGTCCCAAAATTTCTTCTTAGAGGCAGTTGAAAGTGATGACCAATTTATTGATTGAGATCAAAATAACTTTCATTGGCTGGTTCAGGAATTTATTTTCTGCTAGGATGCTTACCCAAAAATTGAAGCAAACATTGGAGTTAAAAAGGTAAGGGAGCTGAGCTTTGTCAGGCTACCTGCAACGGATTAGCCTAGTCAAAATTGGCCGTAACTCACAAATAATAAGATGTAATGCATTGTTTGACATTCAGAGACCTGAATCTAACCTCTTGTTGCATTGTAGAAGTAGACGCCATAGCTTATGGCACTTCCAAAGATTGAGGTATAAAGCAAAGCCAACAAGTCAGTTGCTGTTAGCTCCATAGAATTCCCACTAAGGACAGGATCATGATTGAGAATGGAGATAGCCACCAGAGGGAGTCCACCAATAACCATGTGCTGAAATGGAAGTATCTGAAGTTAGCACAGTATTTGAGCATCGAAATCATGGTGTACTGTTCTTTGGGAACCTTCTACTCAAACCATTACATTGTTGCCAGTCATGCAACCATTTATTTTCAATGTTAAAAGATAAGTAACCATTCTAATCTTGAATAAACATCAGCTCATTCCAGAGGAGCAAGAAATAAATATAAGGGTTCAACATTGGCAAGAAAAAAACTTCTGTGTTTAAGAGTGAAGGTCCGCTGAATTTAGTGGGGTCGTCTTCAAATCCTAGCAGCTTCTCTTTTTTTTTTTTTTTTTTTAAGAAATAGTTCAAACAGAGATATATTTCTCTTGGTCCAACAATTATGAGCTGATGCTTTTTCCTTTTAGATTGATGAAAAAAGTTTCCAGTTCACTGTTTTATGTTTGCTCACTGAAATTTTTTTGACTTGGCAAGCGAAATCATTTTGTAAGTAAGAGAATAGCCACACGAGACATTGTCATTAATGGAATTACCAGAATGTTCACAATAAAATTTAGCTGTAAAAGTAGAATTTATTTTTTGCTACCAAGCATCCAAGTGGTTTTGAAGGATCCCACCACTCAGCAACGGTTAGAATCCTGCTTTTACATCCGCAAAACGCCTCCTAACAACACATCCAAGGTTCATGGCCAACCGACACCCTACCCACCCTACAATTTTCAAGTAGAGGACACTTACTCTAAGGATTAAATTGTCTTGGGTTAGATCTGGGTGCTAAGCTTCTGGCTCAGGTGGTGAGATGGGGAGTCAGGGCCTGAGCTTTAATCCATTTAGAATGATATATTCGTTTCATGGGGAGTCCTCATAAGATGATGCACCACCAACATTGAAGGAAAAAGGAATTTTTGCAGAGGTAAAGAACACACATTTCATGAATGGTTAAAAGAAGTTAAAAGTCCATTCCCTTTTGTCGACCTTAACTTTTGGCAGTGGAACGGTGGTGGGATTTAGAAAAGGGCCACAAATATTTTTCTAATACAGAGAAAGGAAGTAAGGAGAAGTTTTTTGTTTTGGATAGGAAACGAGGCAGTTAAGATAACGAAAGCACACTGCTCCAGAAATTCAGCTTGTAAGACAGACATCCAGAATGGTTGACGAATTTGGGGTAGAACATATAAATGCAATGCATAGAATACAAGTGATAGCAGAACTTACACATCCAACAGGAGGCCTCTTGTCAGTAACTTGATAAGGGGTATGACCATCATAGAGCTAACTGGAAAGGTTAAAATTATACTAGTTTGAGTTACTTTTTTATCATGCTAATTTTGGGATTTCTTCCTTCCTGTTTAATCTATGAAGTCAAACAACTGCATTTTGCAACAAATGGAACAAAGACCAATTTTATAGCAGAGTACAGTTTGATGACACAACCACTAGTGCTAGATAGTGACCATGAAAAACCTGATCTAACATTATAAACTTCAAATCAGCAGTGTAGTAATATGACTAACCCATCCAGTAGCCATGATTGGGTCTGAGTATTTAGAAACCCAACGGACCATTACTGTGCCAACAGCCATGCTTTGTGCTGCAAGAAGCATCCACCACTCTCCACTTCCCCATAGTGAAAAGTTGCTATTATCAACCGAAATAGCAGGTACCTGTACAATTAACTCTGTTATTTGAGAGCAGTATTAGTTAGAACCAACAAAAACAAGGAATAGGATTTATGACTACTAAGTGTTCTCCTAAATTAGATATTGAGCCTCCCTCCTTTCTTTTTGTTTATTTTGGCTGGGGCTGGAGCTGGAGGAATAATTAAAAACAAATCTACAGTCATGAATTGTTCTACTTTCAACAGGTGAAATCTAGTACACAGAGAAAAAATAAAAAGAAATATTGCTGCAAACACGTTATAAATCATCTTCTTCCTCTTTGCAGTTAAGAGAGAATTAAAATTACACATACATAAATGTATACATATAAAAAGCAACCTGAACACTCAAGATTCATCTACATATAGCATATAAACGTAGGAAATGGATTCAAAATCTTATAACTACGCTTCTTGGTTCCCTGCAGTACGTGTACGAAGAACAACATAAACTGTACAATCAATATATACTATCAACATCATTGCGTCTTCGGAAACATAACCAGAAACAAAATTGAGCATCTGCAAAATCTAGAATGTGGACACCACTTGAAGTTCAACAGTTAATTTGATGGAAGGTAGAGGAACGAGACTGGCCAATTCACTTCAAGGTGAAGTGTTTATACTACCGTCATGTTGTTTGGTATGACTCGAGGGAAAATAAATCAGATTTACTTCATCCTTTCTACAATTTGAAGAGATTTAACATGCTACGTCTTCATTTTTATTCTCTAACCAAATGGCTTTTACATACTCTCCTCCTAGCCTCCTCTTTCACCCCAACGAAAGAGATGTTTATCTACTTATTTGGAAAAAGAACAAATGTTCGCCTACGTAGTCTCCAGTTTATCGTGAATTCCAACAGAATCATGAATTTGGTAAAATCTCTGCTTAACCTTTTAAATTTCTGATACCCAAAATTTTGTCTTTGGTATCAGATTCTTCACCACTCCTTTTTGACTTATTTAAGGCCCAAACAACTACCTACGAAAGAAGGACCAATCAGTATTCTGTTAATTATCATCCACTGCCTCTAGAGTGAGGATAAGGCCATTCACAATTATTGTGAAAATAAATATAGAGATTAGTAATTTTCTGATAATATTACCTCAAGCAGTAAAAGGCCTACCACCCCGAGCACAAGACCTGCAGCTCCAACAAAACCTATGGACTCACCAAATAACAAAGTTGCAAGCACAGCCACTGTCAGAGGCTGTGAATCTATTATCACCTGAAATCACAATAAAATCTCGTCAAAATTAGGTCAACTTATCATTTGAATATCATCAATTACTTTACTTTTCTTTTAGCTGCATGGATTAGTTCAAGAGAACTGCTAATTGATCCTTTACTTACTCTCGACTCTATGTAATTATTTGGTTACACCACTAAAGCTAACAGTCTATTATTAAACATTATTGAATTTAGAAAGGCCAATCAAATGTTCCAAAAAACATGATGAGTGATGTTAAGGAAAACTCAATGCAGTATTAGAGTAGAAATCGTATATCATTAATTGAAATTCATCAGTAAGAAAAGCCCCATTCAAAAGGTTGAATGCTGGAGCATCAGAATTCTATTCAGTAGGACAGGTATAAAATATAACATTTCTCTGCTATGGTGTTCGTCTTCGTAAATATTGGTTACAACCTCAAAAGGAAAGAATATATACACTAATAAATTCCATATGAGCCTCAACTTGTTTGGAACTGAGGCATAGTTGCTGTTGTTGTACTAAATTCAATATTGGCATAAGACATCAAACTGCAATGAGAAAGTAAAATTCATCTTACACTGCCTAAGCCAGCAGATGTCCTCTGAAGTCCTTCTGCAAGAAATCCCTGTCCACCATATTTATACAATTAATGAGACACATTGCTGGCCCAATGAATAGTACTTTGTGCATCACTGAAAGCTTAACACAATTAACACAGGTAACACGGTAGCAGTGGAATCCGACATCTCATTCCTCCTGGTGGTGAACTAAACCAACAGAGAAAGAAATGCCTAGTTTTTGAAGACTACCTATTCCCCTGTTTGTTATTCCCCATTATCGAGTTCATAAGGCGTTTACAATCATGCTTTATTCTGTAGGACTCGATCCCAAATTATGGGGTCAGCCAATATTAGGACCTATTTCATTCCAATACTGACAAAAAAGTGTTATAAGATTCAGTATTTAATCGCCTATGATTGCTAAACAAAATATTGATCACATACTGAAAGAAAACTACCTGAAAACAAGCAGCATCGACTAGCGCAAAGAGTGTAATAGAAAGCCACGCATTAAATCCAGAGGGGAAATTCCTACCCCTTAAAGCAGCAAAAGCAACCAACATTAAACCAGCTGGAATTAATCTAAATGCTGAAACGAAAAAAGGGCCAGTCTTTGGCAGAACCTCCTTCATTGCCACCATAGCTGTACCCCAAAAGAAGAAAGGCGAAATTAACAATCCCCATTCCCATATTGTCCCAAGCAACTCAATTGACCACACCCCATCATTTTTTTCCACATTTTGAAACGTAAAGTTTGAGTCTTTAGACAATTCATCAGAAGGGTTCACTACACACTCCACGTTTAGCCCTGTGCCTACACATTCTAGTTCTTCTTCTGATGATGATGATTTCTCTTCAACCCCGGATTCAGTGGCCTTTGTTTTCGAGCAGGAAATGAACTTTTTGCTGCGGGAGCTGAGATAGAGATGATTCTTGGAAGAAAGTTTATGTGGGAATGGCGATAGTGGTAGTGGGGTGGATTGAAGAGACCCATTTCGTCTGTGGATAATTAAGTGGTGATGCAGCAAAGTATGAAGTAAAGGGGTGGATTTGCAAAGGGAATTTGTTGGATTAAGGCGAGGAGTACTAGTGAGTGAACAGCATAGAGCACTGGAAGAAGAAGAAGAAGATGAAGGAAATGGAGACCATGCCATTATTTTTTCTCCTTTTGTCTTTATTTTATTTATTCAGATTCTTGCTTTGCAGTTTCCAGGAAAGAATAAAAATCATAAGGAATAAAAAATCATGAATCTAAAAGGAGTGGTGAAATTATGATCTACGAAGGAGCGTGGGGGGAAGTGCACGCATAGCCGATTTTCAAGACCCTCATTTAACGCATAGCCAAAATTTCTAAATTTTTGTATGTTTAGCTGCTTTAAATCAAATTCGAACTCGCGAGTCTGAAGTTTATGACATAGCTTGCCAAAGGTTAATTTAAGTAGCAAAATTTTCACTAAATGATATCTTAAAGGGTGTTTGGATTGACTTTTAAGTTGGTCAAATCAGCTTTTAAGTTTTTTTTTTGTTTTTTTTTTTGCTGTTTGACAAAGTTAAAAGTGCTTAAAATAAGTTAAAATCTGCTTAAAACAAGTCAACAAAAAGTGGCAACCCCAACTTATTGTTTTTTGGCTTAAATATTATTTCTGTTAAAAATCACTTTTTTTAAGTCAATCCAAACGTGCTCTTAATTCTATTTGTCATTTTTCTTCTATTTCACCAATGGTACCAAATTATTATTTATATCATTTTCCTTCATTTCACTATTAACAACTCATTTCCATTTATGCTATTTTTCGTCATTTCACCAATGATACCTCAATTCTATTTATACCATTTAAGCCCGAAGTTAGCTCAAAGTAAATATAGCAATTTTAGAGACTTTAATGTGATAACCCAAAAAGTCATCACTTGTTTTAGAAATAAATTCAGTGTTTCGAGGCCTAAAAACCTCCTTTTTACCTCATCTCGATTAGCGTGCGCAGTCCGACCGCTTAGCCGGGAAGCCATTATATGAAAATCTGTGAAAAATAATGAATGTTGCCTTTAAAATGAATTTAAGTTGACTTCGATCAACATTTTGAGTAAACGGACCCGGATCCGTGTTCCGACGATCCCAGGAGGTCCGTAAGAAAATATGGGACTTGGGCGTATGCCCGAAATCGAATTCCAAGGTCCCTAACCCTAGAAATGAATTTTTAAAGGAAATTATTTTCTAGAAAATACATGAGTTTTTAAAAATGAAATGTGTTTGAAATTTGATGGTATCGGGCCCGTATCTTGGTTCCGGAGCCCGGTACAGGTCCTATATGTGATTTAAGTTGAGTCTGTGAAATTTGGTAAGAAACGGACTTGAAATGACGTGAATCGGACCTTATTTGAGAAAATTAGAAAATTTGATGTTTTTGAGTGATTTCATGATTTTGATGCTAAATTCATAGTTGTTGATGTTATTTTGGTGATTTGAATGCACGAGCGAGTCCGTATGATGTTTTTGGGTTAGTGTGCATGTTTGGTTTGGAGCCCCGAGGGCTCGGGTGAGTTTTGGATAGGCCACGGAGTGAAATTTGGACTTAGGAAATTGCAGGTTTTCAGCTGGTATGATCAGGCCTGCAGGCTTCGGTCAGACTTGTTTGGTCAAAGGTTTACTGAGATTAGCGACCACTGTTGGTCGCTAAAGTGGGACCCACCTACAAAATTTTAATAATTATATTATTATTTTAAAAAAATTATAAAATTTAAATATATATAATTTAAAATTTGCGACCAACGTTGGTCGCTAGTTAAAGGGTAGGTAGATAGCGACCAACTTTGGTCGTTAAAGTGGGACTCAGTTATAAAATTTTAATAATTATATTATTAATTTAAATATTATATAAAATATAAATAAATTTGATTTAAATTGGTCGCTAAATTAAATTCATGTATAATTAGCGACCAAAGTTGGTCTCTATTCAGGTCAACAATGGTCAAAATTAAAAATCACTTTTGTATTTACTATCTAAATAATATAAATGTAAGCCGTTAATACTTTTGTAATACAAGTGATGAATAGTACTACGAAGCGTGCGTGTGTGTCTATATATATATATATATATATATATATATATATATATATATATATATACACACACACACACACACACACACACACATACGCTATACTATGCACTTAAGTATAAGTGCATTAGCTAATATTATATCGAATATAGCTTATATATATATAATATATATACTTACGCTATACTATGCACTAAGTATAAGTGTATTAGGTAATATTATATCGAATATAGCTTATATATATAATATATATAATATATATATATATATATATTTACGCTATACTATGCACTAAGTATAAGTGTATTAGGTAATGTTAGATCGAATATATATACTTACGCTATACTATGCACTAAGTATAAGTGTATTAGGTAATATTATATCGAATATAGCTTATATATATAATATATATATATATACTTACGCTATACTATGCACTAAGTATAAGTGCATTAGCTAATATTATATCGAATATAGCTTATATATATATAATATATATACTTACGCTATACTATGCACTAAGTATAAGTGCATTAGGTAATATTATACCGAATATAGCTTATATTCGGTATTTTGGAAAATAATTTTTGAAAGTTGAATTTGTGTTTGAACATGTATTTTACTTGAAAAAAGAAGAAGACCAAAAACTGGCCCTGACCAATCAAAATTAATCAAAATCCATGAACAAATAATTATCTTTTTCAATTTTTTTGAAAAAAGTAAAAAATTAGAATCTATGTCCAAATGGGAGCAAAGTGAGTCTATTGATTTTTATTTGTGTTGAATCTAACTATTAAATAATCATTGGGATAGATATTAGAAGGTTGGACATCAAATTGCAGAGTCATTTGGATCAATTTTAAAGCAAAAGTGTGTTGGTAAAACTTTTACATGCATGGTAAGTCGTAACGATACGTTATGATCCTCAAGATTTGGCTACCATGATTTGTGACAAAATAAGTTTTGCCAATCAATCGAAAATTCTGATGATAGATCATGATTTTATTACGAAGTTTTGACCGCAAAGCTATTTTTGCAATTTTTTTTTTTAAAATGAGGTTAAAACTTAAATAATGACATTAAAAGCTCATATTTGTGCAAATGACCCCTCACTGGAGCAGTTATGAAGTACTGGGTTAAGGTCCATTGAGAAAGTCTGTTTTATTGAAGTTTTCGAAGTACTTCACTTCAACTTGACCTAACTGGCCTTTAACGTAAGTACTTATTGAAATTTGACGTATTCAACAAATACTGAGGAAGAGGAAGATGTTAATTCAGTTTCGTTTCACATATATAAACCAAGAGGGTCAAATGACAACAAGGGAAAGGTAAAACAAAAGTCAAGAAAAATCCAATATACAGGAGCAATTTATTATAATAAAATTAAATACAAAGTGGTATGAATAGAAATGACGTATAAACATATCATCAGTATTGTAACAAGCTAGACAAAAAAATACAATCCATAATCCTCCACCTGATTATTGTCGATTAAAAAAAAAAAAATAGAACAAAATAGTGGTGGAATATTATCAAGAATGAAACAATTAAAACCTAAACCGAACCTTACACTTATTATCCCTAATACGAATAATATTATCCTGAGACAAGCTATCCACGTTTAGTCTACACTTCAACAAAAACTTCCACTTCGTGAGCTTCAATTTTCCCAGCTTGATCCTTATTGGAACCTTAACTCGAAGATTCAATGGAATAATTCCACTCTGTTGATCCACCTGTAATGACTGCAACAAATTGGTAGCATTCTCTGTTTGCCCTGTCATTTTCACGTTAAGTACAGTGGTATTTCTATGGCCTTGATAAAACTTTGGCAATGACCCTTCACATAAATTTGTGCCTTTGTACCATACACTCAAATGACTTCCATTTTCGTAGTAAATTCCGATTTTCTTGTTGGGATTTCTTGCAGTGATGTTCACGTTAAAAGTTGCGGACAAGCTCATGTCGTTGTTGATGTTGAATTGTGTAATTCTCATGCTGTCGACTGAGTACTTTGGTATTTTTGGTTGGAAGACAAAGTAAATTATGGCTGCTAAAATACCTAGGAGTATGATCACTAGGAAAAATAGGCAACAGGACCAACACAAGCATTTTTTGCAGCAGCTTCGCTTTTTTGGTTGTGAATATGGGGTTAATGACCTTCTCAACGGTGGCTGCTGCCGTTCAGGGTCGCCGTTCTCCGACCGGGAAGAGCCACGTGGCACCAACGGAGCCGTGGGTTTGGGTAGCACTTCCTGCTCCGGCTCTGGTGCCGGAGCCGGATAAATTTTTTGGTGATCTGCCATGGAAAAGAAAATGTTATAACAAGATTAAGAACAGGGGTGCATGTGAACAACGAGAGCAAAATGTTATACAAAAGGAATTTCTTGGACCAAGATTTTTTTTTTGTATATATAGGGACTTTGAAGAGTTAGAGAGATTATTTGAGCGTTGAAAAAGTGACAATAAAATACAAACTATAGTGGGCATGTAAATGGACTATGTGATGTTTTCAAGCTTCCTTAATTTGACTTTTTGTGTAAGAGGTTGAATCTGAACAAACGTGTTTTTCCGTTTGGGAGTGTGCACGTACCTGAATGGGTCAATGTTACCCAATTACTTTTGCGTATTATTTCATGTAGTAAAGGGAGAAATTTAAAAATAGCCAGATTTACAAGTGGCCGTTCAAAAATAGCCCAGTTTCAAAAGTAATAAAAATTTAGCCACTTTTCATGTAAAGATAAATCTGAGCGAAAACACTGTTCAAAACCCGGAAAATACGCCAGTATATTATGCTGGAGTTCCAGCATAAGTATACTTGAACTCCAGCATATTATACTGGAGTTCCAGGATAAGTACGCTGGAACTCCAGCATAATATGATGGAGTTCCAACATAAGTACACTAGAACTCCAGCATAATATACTAGAGTTCCAGCAAAGTATACCGGTCCAGTATAATATGCTGGAAATTCATACGCAAGTGCTCGAATCTCCAGTATATTACGCCAGAACTTTCCGTGTGTTGGAGTTCCAGCATAATATGCTGGAAGTTCATACACAGGTGCACCGAACTCCAGTATATTATGCTGGACCGGTCTCTGTTGCAGCAAAATATTGGCTATTTTTCATTGACTTGGTAAACGCTGACTATTTTTGAATGACCAGTTCGAAAACTGGCTAGACCGTGCTATTTTTACTATAGTAAAAGCTTATGTTGAGGATTACCCAATTTCTTGGCGCGTTAATACTTTAGGGTCCAAAAGTACGGCTTTAGTGCGTTCCTTATTCGCTCGTTTTGGTAAGTATGCAGTTTTCCAAGTGAGGGATCCTCTTTACCACCCAAGATGATGGTCTTAATAAAAAATTTCGAATTCGAGCGATGAGAATAAATAAAATCTTATATCGAATGTTCTTCTTTAAGCGGATATTAAATGGCACTAAACTAAATTTGTAGGGACTCTAATGAGTGGGAAACCAAAAAAGAAAAAAATATCTGGACAATTAATCTCCAAACTTTGGACGGTTTGAATTTGAATACCTTTCATGGTTGAATTATATGCACAACCTTGCAATATGAACAAAATGTTGCCTGGTATTTCATACATGTTTCTTTTTGTTTTTCCTGTTTGTTAAAGGGGCCAAATTAAAGAGTTTTTACTTTTGAGCAGAAATTGGAAAGATGACATTCACTTCCTATCATAATTCAGTTTTGGTTTTGTTGAGGGAGCTGGAGGGTGATTACTGCGACAATTTCTCTCAATTTTTAGATTCAAAACTCTTGTAATAGTCAAACAGCTAAAACCTCTATATAAAACTAACCAAATTTAGAAACTTCAAAAATTAACAAATTATTTTGTTTTTTTTGGCCAAATGTTGTAAGGGTCTTTCCAAGAAAGATTTTTTTAAAAATATCAGACAAATGTGAAAATAAGTCAGTTGACCATCCAGGTTTCATGTTAAGTATGTTACACATGTACACGCCACGGCAAGAAAAAGCAAACTCTTCTTTATTCCATTTCCACCATTGCTTCTGCAATAAAATATGGTTTAATTCTTAGGTAGCACCAAAAATAACAAAATTCAGACAAGTTAAGCTTAGAAACAGACTTTTAGGAAGCTTCCTTAATACAACTGAAACTTTAAGGCAATATGTCAACGGCATGTATTGACGATATATTTCTGTGTGATCTTTTGGTGCTTTTGAATACCAAATCCTCTTGACTTTAGGTGCCTTTAGTAGGCACGCAGAACATTGGTATGGAAATTGCTGAAGTAACAGGGATTTGAATTACTTCATTTTTAGTCAAAGAAGTGAACATTCTTATGCCACATGCATAGGGGCGGAGGTAGAAGCCCGGTACAGATTCGGTCGAACCAATAGATTTTGATCAAACACTATATTTATGTTAAGAAATTAATCAAATAAGTATATATTTTAAATTTATAAACCAATTATTAGCACTTTAAGTCATCATTCTAAAATTTAGAACCTATAAAATAAAATTCTTATCTCCGCGTCTGTACTTGCACTAGGTGTTTGTATTCTGAAAAAGTAAAGGTAACTATAGTAATTATTATATGAAATAATATAATTCATCAAGACACAAGTTATATGAAATGACACAATTCATCAAACCAAACTGCATAATTCATTATCGCCCTTCCCGAAATTAGCATCCAACTCTATATATATCAATGTCGAACGATTTAGCACAACCACCCCTAGCTCGATCATTTCCACATACAAAAGACATCTCTTCAAATATACCAATCTTCTTGTTGCTGAATTTTTCATAAATAGGACAATGGAATGTGATCGGTTTCAAATTCAATTAGACTGAAATATACAATCAATCAAGCTGCTGCAAATAGTAAATCACAGTGGGCTATATTCAGCCTTAGAAACTGTATATTTCAATTAGAAACTATTTAGATGCATTGGCCACTGAGTACATATGGATATATTTAGGCACAGAACAGTGATTGCAATTTTGTGAAATCTGTCCAACTCCAACACACTAGTGATTGCAATTTTGTGAAATCTGTCCAACTCCAACACACTAGTAGAATCACTCTTTGCCTCACTTGTTTCGTTGGAATTACATTATGAGGAGTGGCGACTCTATGCAACTGTACTTAATAATTCACCTTATTGTTGCCATTGACTCAGTCACGAGCAATAACAATGAACATAAAGACAGTAGACAAGACAACCAGAAAAAGAAATTACAACGATAGCCAAATGCTCACAAACCTGTTGAATAACCTCCTATGCAAGAGCACCTGGTTCTATAATCCGAAAACCAAGAACAGAAGTGATCCATGAGAACTTGCTCTTCTCTTCTCTGGTTTTATCCATCTAGGTTACAGCTCAAACAGCATTCCAGCAACATCTTATAGCTGCAACAGTAATGATATTAAAATAGGAAAGAAGTGAACGATAAGAAAAGACCTAGGTAGACAATACCTTCTGATATCGAAATTTTCTTTCTGTCTTCAGCCTGACGATGGGCTGGACTAGACTTTCCAATGTTCTGTCAGCCTGTCACTGATGCTAGCAGACTGTCCGAGGCTTATTTCGATCAAGCTTGGATCAGCTTTAGCACACCGCACACAGAGTGCGCCTCATTTACGCCGTCCAAAACTTTTTGGATCCGCTCAGACGGCAGGCAGAAAAATTACTTACTCCCTCCGTTTCAAAAAGAATGAACCTATTTGAGTGGGTACTGAGTTTAAGAAAGAATATAAGACTTTTGAAACTTGTGGTCTAAAACAGTCCAAAGATACTTGTGTGGCTATAGATCATCTCATTAAGGGAAAGTTTAAAGTTACATTATTTCCAAATTTATAAAGTTGTCATTCTTTCTAAACGGACTAAAAAGGAAATATGTTCATTCTTTTGAAACGGAGCAAGTATTTGTTGATTTGCTATAATAAATATACTCAACAACTAATCAAAAGCACAACATTTTATAATGGTTAAAAGTGACAGGTTGTTTCATGTTAAACTCAAGTCAAATCCATGCATGCCTTCTCCTTTTGCAGAGCACGAATGTGAGATTGGTATTCGGCGAGCTTTCTCATGACAAGTCGTACTCTTTCAGCTTCAAAGAAGGCCTCAAAGCATTGACGATATTAGAATACCCAGAAAACTCATAAGTTATCTCATCAATTTATGATATAATATCTGCACAACTTTCATATTTCTTAACTTTTAAATCATCTTCAAGTGGTGGATTGATTCCAGTTGCCCCTTCAATGATGCTGACTTCTTCTATGGTTGTATCGATTGAGTTGAAAACGCACGGTTTTGAAGGATTGTTACTCGAACTGCTGCAAAAATATTTATAGAGTGCAGATGGATAGAAGACTAGATTTAGCTCCACATGAAATCATATTAGGAACACAAGCATCAGATTAAAGCATGAGAAGAGCAGATTAGGGGTTCAAGAGTCTAGCCCTTGTATTCTAGATTAATAATTTGTACGTATTAAATAAATTTCTTAAGACAAATGTAGAGTTTGGACCAAAGTTACTGGGTTCGGCCGAACCCGCACATTGGTCTCTAGCTTCGCCACTGGAGAAGAGAAATGCATAAAGGGTCTAAAACAACATAGAATTAAACAATTGTGAGATCAAGCATACACTATTGCGCCCTAGTGTATCTCAGTTCCAGGAATTCAAATAACCATCTCATGCTCATAGGAAATCGACTGAACTAACAATCTTAGGTAAACACAGCATATATATTCTCACATTGATGAATTTGAATATAGGGTCATTTGAATGATAAAAAAGAAAAGTTAAGGGCATGGAATCAAAACACAGATGAGAGAAAGATATCTGATGAAGCAGACTTTCTTGAATCTTTCTAGTGATTTATATAGTTTAAAGTTAAGGTTAAACATTTTTAGGTGGATAGTAACGAACATAAAGAGACTATTTACACCTTCAAGTGAAAAATAAGTCACCTTGTTCCATGATTTATAACCAAATGGTCCCTCAAGTTAATCTGCCTATTATATGTCTTCCCAAAAGAGCTCCTTCAATTCAGTAACCCTACCCTTGTTCTCCCAATTCCTTCTCTTCACCAAACCTCTCTGTTATGCTAAGTTCAAAACATTACCAAGATCTGCGAAAAAGTAAGGAAGTTACAAGCACGAAAAACAAATGCATTGGCATTTTTTAGGATGGATCTCATTCAGGAGTACCAGAGGAATGGCTTTGAAAGCTCCAAGCATCTCAAAAGGTTAGCAAGAAACAGATAATGGCACGGAATAAAGCTTCACAAAGAACAAATCATTGACAGTTTCTACAGGTGGACAGCCAAATTGATCACTTTTTTACAGACCAGCTTCAGGGAGTGATCGATTCAACCACACTTATACAAATACTCAAGAAACAAGCTCATAGTAGTAAAAGCAGCCACTATCGAATTTCAATACCCACATCAAACACACAGATTTGTTTGTATCGGCAAACAACCTTTTACCCAGCACCAAATATAACAGAAGAAGTAGAAACTGAGAAAGCAAGGCTATGAACGAAGAATACTTTCGCTGCCTCCAACTTTGCCAGCAACAGCAGGTGCACCTCCAAATGGTCTATAAGTCGGGACCTGGAATTGCTCAATGTTTTTCCCGTAATTAAGCCCCAATTATCTCAGTATATTGAGCATTGCATGCTCAAGCTCCACCTGATGCAGCTTATTATGCATTATCTTGGGCTACATTAAGGAAGTGGGGAAGTTGAGTTTGTGTTCCAGTTATGGCCTTTGTTGAACAAATCTGATTACTTTATGCATTTTTTCCTCCTCTTTTTTTTATTTCCTTATTTTGTGTCTCCTTTGAGTCTTTGATCCAACTTCACTCTGTTTTTCCTCTCTTTCATTGAAGGACATTATGGCAACAATAACATACTGATATGCAATTTTGTATTGTATGACTACAGTACAAAACAACTCTAACATTTTACAGTCAGGACTGAAATTTGTTTGCATTTGTCGTACCATTTTCTCTTCTATGTCCAATTCTTTTAAGAGACGTCCCCAAAGGCATTATAATGAAAATAACTAATTAGCACGCTATTAGAAATTTCCAGAAAAACAGCAGAAACAAACATAGAGAATAAGGATATAAGGCTACTAGTTTACTAATATGACATATACCATGGGTCAGTATCACATTGACTAAGACCAACAATTGTAAGAAGTTTGCTACTATCTACATTCTACAGTCCTAAAACTGTAAAATACCCGAAAATCTTCATACTATTAACAAATTCTCAAACTATAAGCTGTGAGAGAGATAGTTACATTTCATTGTCATCCTCAGCATAACAAATACTGAGATCGTCCAAACAACTAAACTCACCTAAAAGAGATCCATAGTTATCAATGATTGGTAAGCGTAGTTGGAGTGAAAATTTGATTGCCCTATCACCTGAAGTTGGACCCATTGCCCCATCCACAAATCTTCATCCTCTTGACCTACACGCTTCTCCCCTGCAGTAGAATCAGTTGGCATATTGCTTTGCAGCTCAACCTTTTCTGAGATCTGAAAATCCAATTTCTTAGGAGGATTAGCATGGAAAGCTTCTTCGGTAGGGCCTAGGGTCCCCAATGAATTTTTTGTTATACTAGGATCTAGTTGTTCAGTTTTTTCTGTATTTAAGCACCATTTTCAGTTCTGAATATTAATTTCCACCAGCAAATATTATCTCTTCTTCTTGCCTTTATTTCCTCTTTTTTCTTAAAGTTGCAGTACAACTGAGAAAAACTCCAACACATAGAGAATAAGGATATAAGGGCTACTTGTTTACCAATATAACATATACCATTTGTCAATATCATATTTACTAAGACCAACAATTGCAAGAATTTTGCACATTACAGCTATCTACATTCTACAAGAGTCCTAAAACTGTAAAATACCCGAAAATCTTCATGCTATTAACAAATTCTCAAACTATAAGCTAGGAGAGACATAGTTACATTTCATTGTTGTCCACAGTTTCAACAAATACTGAGATCATCCAAACAACTGAACTCACCTAAAAGAGATCCATAGTTATCAATGATTGGTAAGCCCAGTCGTAGTGACAATTTGACAGTCCTATCACCTGGAAGTTGGACCCACTGCCCCATCCACAAATCTTCATCCTCTTGACCTGCATGCTTCTCCCCTGCAGTAGAATCAGTTGGCATATGGCTTTGCAGCTCGACTTTTTCTGAGCTCTGAAAATCCAATTTCTTAGACGGATTAGCATGGAAAGCTTCTTCAGTAGGGCCTAGAGTCGCCAACAAATTATTTGTCATACTAATGGGGCTTGTAATTTCGGTCGTATATTTTCCTGATTTTCCCTTTCGAAACCTCATGGAGTGGATTATTTCATGAAAATCAATCCCCTGGTCACTTCCTCCATCCAACGAATTTGATATTGGAACATCAATTTCTGAGGACGAGGATCCACCAGCTGATTCAGGCTGCAATCCTTCACGATTTACAGCTTCATGTCCTAGCTTGACATTGACTAATTTCTTTTTTCCATCCTGCTTCTCCCTTGCACTAGACGTTAGCTTACTGCATTGCTGCTTTGCCTTGAGTTGTTTCTGAAACTCGAGCTTCTTAGATTGATAAGCCTGGGAAGCCTCTTCAGCAGTACCATAAGTCCCTAACCAAAATTTTCTCTTACTAATGGGGTTTCTAATCTCAGAAGTATAATTCCCTGAATTTCTCTTGCGAACCCCAATGAAGTGTGTTGTTTCGGGAGAATTGCTTCTTCCACTTCTACTTACACCAGCAGTATTTAAGGACTGATCATTAGCCAGAGGAGATAATTCTCCACCAGATGAATCAGGCTGAAGTTGTTCACAATTCTTTGATTCGCCACCTTGTTTTCCCTGGTTTAATTTCTCAAACCCACATTTCTTGGAGAAATAAGCCTTGGAAGCCTCTTGAGCACTGCTAAAGGTGCCCAACCAAACCCGTTTTTTCTTAATCAGGTCTCTAATTACAGCAGCGTACTTACGGTTTTTTCTTTTTCGAACCCCAGTAAACATGGTTTCGGAAGAATTGCTTCTTGCATTTCTACTTACTCCAGCAGTGTTTAAGGCTTGATCATAAGCCACAGGAGTTAATTCTCCACCAGATGAATCAGGCTGAAGTTGTTCAAAACTTTTTGATTCACCGCCTTGTTTTCCCTGGTTTAAATTCTCAAACTCACATTTCTTGGAGAAATAAGCCTTGGAAGCCTCTTGAACAGTGCTAAAGGTGCCCAACCAAGCCCCTTTTTTCTTAATCGGATCTCTAATTACACCAGCATACTTACCATTTCTTCTATTTCGAACCCCAGTAGATATTATTTCGGGAGAATTGCTTCTTGCATTTCTACTTGAATCAGCAGTATTTACGGATTGATCATTAGCCAGAGGAGATAATTCTGCACCAGATGAATCAGGCTGAAATTGTTCACAATTCTTTGATTCGCCACCTTGTTTTCCCTGGTTTAGTTTCTCAAACTCACATTGAGAGCAACGCTAAATGAACCCAACCAAACTCGTTTTTTCTTAATTGGGTCTCTAATTACAGCGGCATACTTACCGTTTTTTCTCTTCCAAACCCCAGGAAATTGTGTCTCATCATGCAAACCAAAAACTATACTGTCCATGTGATATTTGTGATCGTGTAGGAAGAAAAAACAGTGGGAGGTTGTTTACCTTTTTGTCAACAAAAAAACTCGGAGAAACCAAGCTCCGGCTGCACTGGCTTCTTCTTCTTTGTCCTCCGCTTGTCGTCCATCAGTTTCCATGGAGATTATGTAAAATGGTTATGCATTGAAATGAAAGGATGTCTTGCTGATGAGATGAAAAGGGGGGAAATGGGGTTTGTTTGGCCACTGAGCTCTTCGTGGTCTCTCTCTCTCTCTACAGTTCGGACTGCAGAGTAGTACAGTGGACTGCTATTCGCGCTTGTTAACAGGCCACAACCGCCACATGACGCGTGTTACATTTTTGTTTCTCTATTCCATCTTTGCTTTGTCAAATAAACGCCACTTCACTCTATTAACAAATCTTAGCAAAAATATACCCGCTTTGTTATGAAACAATAAAAGAAGAAGAATATATAGTATTGCAGAGAAAAGTAGAGGAACACAATTCTTATTGATTTGGGATGAATTACAATGGAAATAGAAGCCTTTATTTATAGGGAGAGGGTGACTTAGCCACCAAGCAATGAACCCTAGAATCTCTCTAACTATAGACATTCACCATAAATACAATTCTATTTATAACACACCCCCTTGAATGTCTATTCAATAGATAATGTGCCTCGTTAAAACCTTAACTAAAATAAAACCCAGTGGGAAAAAAATTCTAGAGAAGGAAAAAGAGTACACATGTTTAGAAATACGCCTTTTGGTTGCCTCGTTAAAAACCTTGCAAGGAAAACCCAGTGGAACAAAACCTTGTAAGGAAAAAAGAGTACAACGCGTATTAACTCCCCCTGATGAGAGCATCAATTCACATCCTTAAGCATTTGCATTCCAATCTTGTGCACCATCTTCAAAAGATCTTTGGTAGATATTTGATAAGCAAATCAGCCATATTAACTTGAATGAGTATATTGCACCTTGAAATCATCATTCTTGATAGAGATGGATTGTCTTCATATAATGTCGTGGAATGGCTCTTCAATATCTCCATAGAGATTCTCGCTATCATATTATCATGCTTATAATTATAGCAAGATACATATATGCACAAATTGCGCTGAGGATGTGGTACTTCAAGATCAAGAATTGTATATGCTTCAAGCAATTTAAATCCTTCAGGGATTATCATATAAGTATAGTCAAATAAGCCATATAAATAGACTTTAGATTTGCATCAAGTTTTCATGTCATGCCAGACATATAAGATATCGAAAACTGATTGCACATACCATTGACTTTATGTCTTTCATAAGAAACAAAATTCTACTTGAATTGTTTCTCCAGACTTAAGATCCTCATATATATTTAGCGATATTATCGATGTCGTCGACAAATATTTTATATCGGTTCCAAGCTCCTTATTTTCATATAGACATAACATAGAGATCTCTTCATTCATATATTCAGGTACCTGAATCTCTCATGAGATTTTATGAAGTGTTATGTCATGTGATCTTCTAGATCACTTGCCTCCTTATTATGATCCTTTTGATCATTTGCTCATCTTCTTTATCAAGAAGTTTATTTGAAACCGATTTGTCTATATGCTTTAAGCGTACCATAGACTTTGTCCTTCTAGGACTTAATAGGAGCATTTGCAACGAGAATATAGTTACTTTCTTTGGGTCAGCAAATTCGTTTGGCATGCTTTGCAATATATTGCAAATGAATTATCTTTTTATGAACTTCAAGTTCATATTATCTTATTCGAGGATCGAGATGTATAAATAATAATTCATTCCATGTAACTTTTTCTCAACTGTTTATCATGTCTCCCCCTCATGTTAGAAAAACTAACTTGTTTCCTCAACTTTGAGAACCCATCTTTGTGCCTTATGGTGTTAATCATAATATACACCGCACATCAATAATAATAAGATGAAATTATTTGGTTCCTGACCCTGAACCACTTGTGAGGGGAGAAAATAATATACTTTCGTATATAACGTATATCAAACTGATATATATAACTTTGTTCTCATAAGCAATAGTTTAGCTATTAAGTGGAGGCACTCAATAAATTATTTTGCTAAACCAACTGTGATGTAAACCAACTTATCAAGAAGAACTATCTTGAATAAAAAATCTGGAAATTATGCTCTATATTAAATTATTGAGCAAGTTATCTCGCAAACACCAGGTTGCGGGTCAATAATAATTGCACATGTAACCATCTCATAGATGCATTTTATGTGGTATACATGGCAGGTGAATGGGCCTATATTCACCTTTGATATTTCCAGCATTCATGGGATTCAATCCCAATTTTAATTGGTCTATTAATTAATGAGAACAAGCAATGTAAGAGAATTCGTAAAGAACTTTCTAGTTCTTTAATATTTACCCATGTGAATTCTCGTTTATTTTTGCACATCATGCTTAAATTAATATGGCTAAACCAATTATGCCAACTGAATAAATTATCAATATTGATAAACTTCGGATTTACACCATGATGTGTGCAATTATCAATAAACTCCAAGTTTATTATGATATGGGTTTTTATATCAATAAATATCCACTTCATTGTGGTATTCTTTTGTTTATGTAGTACAAATTGGAGAATAAAACGGGTAGCTTTTCACATGCATATTACCCCGCTACAAGTTGTAGTAATTGAAGATATTAAATCTTTCCTTTATTTATAGTCTCAATATAACCAACCGTTTTAGTTATACTTTGGAAACTGAATAAGTTTCTTTGAGACTTAATACAACACAACACCTTATTGGTAATCAATTGTGTTTCTCCAAAATAGTATAATTGGCTCTTGCAGAGTTCTCAATTAATTTTGTACTATCACCTATTCATCAACATCCATATGGTGAATATCCTTTTTAAGGAGAAAGTTATACCATTATAGTCATGCTCAAAATTATATGCAAGATCTGTTTCTTGCATTACCGTTGTCTTTTAACAATCACAATGCCAAAATATTTTGGCGTACAATAGGTACGTGACCAATGACCATTCATTCCATAATAATGACATTATTTTCTTATATCATCTCAAACCTTCTTTTAGAGGTGAGTGCGGTATATTCACTACCACTAACACGCTCATATTCTTTGAAGAATGAATATGTATTCATAAATCAGATGTTGTCACATTCACATCATGAATGGACCATAATCATCTATATGTGCTTTACAAAATCTCATGTCAAATCGATGACAAATATTTTTCACAGAGTGAAAGATTATTTTGAGAATCCTTATTGTTCTCATTACCACAAATGATGACGATTATAATTTTGTCTATTGCCACGTCCATATCCATTGATACATTCATAGTAATAATTTTGTCTTCTTTCAGACTTATCACATACTGCTATCACATTCTTTTAAGGGAATGAGAATGGAGCAAATTCAATGGGACGGGTATTCAATTCTTTGCCCACAATCATACATGAATTTGATCATGGCGAGGCATAGAAATTTTAGCACTTCAGGTGGTTATAATTTCTTACAAACTCCATTAGAGTTATAATCAAACTTTCTTTTCTTTGCTTGTATTTAAAATCAAATTATAGAATAAAAGAGAAAAATAAGGTAAAATACTTACCTTAAATCCAGAATTTAATCATGAAGGAAGTTCATGGAATAATTGACAATCATTATGCTCAATCTTAAAGCTTCTACTCAATTGGTTAGAGTCTCGTGCTGATAACGTGTTATGAAACAATAAAAGAAGAAGAATATAGAGTATTGCAGAGAAAAGTAAAGGGAGAGAATTCTTATTGATTTGGGATGAATTATAATGGGAATAGAAGCCTCTATTTATAGGGAGAGGGTGACTTAGCCACCAAACAATGAACCCTAGAATCTCTCTAACTATAGATATTCACCATAAATACATGTGACGACCCAAAGGGTCATCACCGGACTTCTTCCTATTTGCGTGCTTCCGAGGCCTTGAAAATCTCGCTTTTAGTTGCCTCGATTTGCGTGCGCAGTCCGGCGCGCGAAGCCGGAAAGCTTTTATGTTGAAATATGTGAACTTTGTGAAAATTTTGAAGAATTTTGATATTAATATTACTAAAGTTGACTTTGGTCAACATTTTTGGTAAACGGACCCGGACCCGTGATTTGGCGGTCCCGGAGGGTCCGTAGAAAAATATGAGACTCGGGCGTATGCCCCGAGTCGAATTTCGAGGTCGAGAGCCCGAGAAATGAATTTTTCTGTGAAATTATTTTTCTGAAATTCTTAAGGAAAATGAAAATCAAAATTGATTAAAAGACCATGGTATCGGGCTCGTATTTTGGTTCCGACGCCCGATACAAGTCTTAAGTAGGTGTTAAGCGCTTTCTGTAAAGTTTGGTCGAAATCGGATGTCATTTGACGTGTTTCGGACCTAAATATCTAAAGTTAGAAGTTTAAGAAGTTTTAAATGAAAATGATGATTTTGAGGCTTGATTCATGGATTTTGATGTTGTTTTGGCGATTTGATCACTCAAGTAAGTTCGTAGGATGTTATTGAGTTAGTGTGTGTGATTGGTTAGGAGCCCCGAGGGCTCGGGAGTGAATTGGAGGTGGTTCGGGGTGATTTTACACTTAGAAATATAGCAGGTTTTCCTTCAGCTGTTGCAGGCCAGGTTTGTTCTTCGCATTCGCGGTCGCCCTTACGCGATCGCGATGCTGGCCGGGTCCCCTTCTTCGCGTTCGCGAACCTATTCCCGCGTTCGCGTAGCTTTAGTTCTACCTTCTTCGCGTTCGCGAACTAATTCACGCGTTCGCGTAGTTAATTTCCCTGGACCCCCCAGTCTTCCTCTTCGCGTTCGCAGCCTCCTCATGGCGAACGCGATGGTCTGTTGAATTAACCCTTCGCGAACGCGGCTCCTTTCCCGCGAACGCGGAGGGCATTTTTTCCCAGTTAATTTTAAAAGCTCAAAACAGACCCATTACGGGATTTTTCCCATTTCTTCATAAAACTTGTCTTCTCTAAGCTCTAGGGGCGATTTTTGAAGCTCTTCTTCAGCAAAGTATTTGGGTAAGTAATTTCCCACCTAATTCCTTCACTCTTCTTCATTAATTACTGAATTCCTAGACCTAAATTATGAAATCAAACTAGAAATTAAGGTTTTGGGTAGAGCTAGGGTTTTGGGGATTTTGGGTGATTCAACCTCAATTTGGGGTCGAATCTTGAAATAAATTATATATTTGAACTCGTGGGGTTATGGGTGATTGGGTTTTGGTCCGAGCCTCGTGTTTGGACCATGTG